CCTCGCTGCCCCACCGACGGGAAGTCTGTGGTTCGCATGACCCCGCTGGTTCAGTCCTTGGGAGCCTGGCTAGAGCTTCCCAACCTGTCCCGCTGGGTCGCACGAACGATCAGGCTCGGCTACGCGATTCAGTTCGCGCGGTCTCCTCCCCGCTTCAGGGGAGTCCGCTCCACTTTGGTCGGTGGCAATGCCCCTATCATGAGAGCGGAGGTTGCTACCCTGCTGGCGAAGGGTGCGATCGAGACTGTCCCTCCAGCCGAAATGAAGACCGGCTTCTACAGCCCGTATTTCATTGTCCCGAAGAAAACCGGTGGGTTACGGCCAATCCTGGACCTGCGCGTTCTGAACCGCTCCCTTCACAGGCTGCCGTTCAAGATGCTCACCGCCAAACGCGTTTTCGAATGTGTGCGGCACCAGGATTGGTTTGCAGCGATCGACCTGAAGGACGCCTACTTTCATGTCTCCATTCTCCCTCGACACAGACCGTTCCTTCGGTTTGCTTTCGAGGGTCAGGCATATCAGTACGCAGTTCTCCCATTCGGGCTAGCCCTGTCCCCTCGCGTCTTTACGAAGGTCGTCGAGGCAGCCCTTGTTCCCCTCCGGGAACACGGGGTTCGCATTCTGAACTATCTCGACGACTGGCTGATTCTAGCTCACTCTCGAGATCAGCTTTGCGAACACAGGGATTTGGTACTCCGCCATGTAGCCCGTTTGGGCCTTCGGGTCAACTGGGAGAAGAGCAAACTTTGCCCCGTGCAGAGGATCTCTTTTCTCGGTATGGAGATCGACTCGGTCGCCATGTCCGCGCAGCTTACGAGCGAGCGCGCGCAGTCACTGCTGACTTGCCTGAGACAGTTCGAGGGCAAGAGTGCGGTTCCACTGAAACTTTTTCAGAGGCTCCTGGCATCTGCAGCCGCGGCAACGCCGCTCGGATTGCTTCATATGAGACCGCTTCAGCTTTGGCTTCGCGACCGAGTCCCGAGGTGGGCATGGCAACACGGCACGCTCCGAGTACCAGTTACTCCGACCTGCCGTCAGACCTTCACCCCGTGGGGGAACCTCAGCTTTCTACGGGCAGGAGTGCCTCTGGAACGAGCTTCCCGGCATGTTGTTGTAACGACAGATGCCTCCACCACGGGCTGGGGTGCCATGTGCAATGGACGTGCTGCCGCGGGCTCCTGGACAGGACCCCACCGCTTATGGCACATCAATTGCCTCGAGTTGCAGGCTGTACGTCTTGCTCTGCGCCGCTTCCGGGCCGTGCTCAAGAATCAACACGTACTAGTCCGAACAGACAATACCGCCACTGTAGCGTACATCAACCGTCAAGGTGGTCTGCGCTCCCGCCGTATGTCGCAACTCGCCCGCCACCTCCTCTTATGGAGTCAGAAGCAGCTGAGGTCGCTTCGAGCCATTTACATCCCTGGAGCCCTGAACTGTGCAGCCGACGAGCTGTCACGGCTTCAGCCCCTCCCCGGAGATTGGCGACTCCATCCCCAGACGGTTCAGCTGATTTGGGACCAGTTCGGGGACGCACAGATGGTTCTGTTTGCCTCTCACGACTCGACCCATTGCGCCCAGTATTATTCCCTGACCGAGGGCACGCTCGGCACGGATGCTCTGGCACACAGCTGGCCGCGGGGCCGCAAATATGCGTTTCCCCCAGTGAGCCTTCTTGCGCAACTCCTGCGCAAGGTCAGGGAGGACGAGGAGCAGGTCACTCTGGTCGCGCCGTACTGGCCCACCCGGACCTGGTTCTCCGAACTTGTACTCCTCGCGACAGCACCTCCTTGGCCCATACCTCTGAGGAAGGACCTACTTTCTCAGGGACGGGGCACCCTATGGCACCCTCGTCCCGATCTTTGGAACCTCCACGTATGGCTCCTGGACGGGACGAGGCAGGTTTGAGTACCCTGCCACCAGCGGTGGCGGCTACCATCACTTCCGCTAGAGCGTCGTCCACGAGACACCTCTATGCGTTGAAGTGGAACCTCTTCGTCAACTGGTGCTCTTCTCACCGAGAAGACCCCCGGAGATGTTCGATCAACGTCGTGCTTTCCTTCCTTCAAGAGGGGTTGGAGCGAAGGCTGTCTCCCTCCACCCTCAAGGTCTATGTCGCCGCTATTGCCGCACAGCATGATCTTATAGAAGGTAAGTCGGTGGGGAAGCATGACCTGATCGTCAGGTTCCTGAGAGGAGCGAGGAGACTGAATCCTCCTCGCCCTCCTCTCGTTCCCTCTTGGGACCTCGCAGTGGTCTTATCCGCCCTGCGTAGTGCTCCCTTTGAGCCTTTACAGTCAGTCGAGCTTAACTTCCTGTCAATGAAGACGGCGCTTCTGACTGCATTGGCCTCCATCAAGAGGGTAGGGGACCTGCACGCATTCTCCGTTGACGAAGCGTGCCTGGAATTCGGGCCGGCTTACTCTCACGTGATCCTGAGACCCCGGCCTGGATATGTGCCCAAGGTTCCTACCACTCCCTTCCGGGACCAGGTGGTGAACCTGCAAGCGCTGCCCCCGGAGGAGGCAGACCCAGCCTTGGCACTGCTCTGTCCAGTACGTGCTCTCCGCATCTATGTAGACAGAACGCAGTGTTTCAGGACCTCAGACCAGCTCTTTGTCTGCTATGGTGGGAAGCTGAAGGGAAAGGCTCTCTCCAAGCAAAGGTTGTCTCACTGGATAGTGGACGCCATTGCTTTGGCATACCAGCAGCAAGGTCGACCGTGCCCCCTTGGTGTGACTGCCCACTCCACCGGAGTGTGGCATCCTCTTGGGCTCTAGCGCATGGCGCCTCGCTAACAGACATCTGCAGAGCTGCAGGCTGGGCGACACCTAACACATTCGCCAGATTCTACAATCTCCGAGTGGAGCCTGTGTCCTCTCATGTACTCGCTTCAACCAGCTAGTACCGGACTCGCTCAGGTGTCTTCGCTTGCTCGCCATTCCACTCTACGGACTGGATACGTGCGATATTCTCCTCAGGTGAGCTTCTCCGAAAGCCCTGAGTTCCTCCAGCACTCCTGACGTCGGCGCCAGTGTCTCTTGCCTGCGCGTCGGCTAGGTGCCTCCCGTGTGCATGGTACCTCCCGGAGCTACCCCCACATGTGTATTCCCACTGTAAGCCTCTCTGAGCATGTGTCTTTCCCTTGGCAAGCCACCTTGCCACCCCTGGGGTTGAAATATTCCACCTGCGGCTGGATACCCCAGTGATTCCCCATATGCATCCCTCGGGTCATATGTGTATTTCTAAGTCCCCCCCTCTGGGTTGGCAGTAATTGCTTACTTCCCTAAGACCTGGGATATGCTCCCCAGTGTACCTTGGTATTCCTGTGTTAAATAGGAGTCCTTCGTCCGTGCTAGTCTCACGACAGGGATCTCAGATTTACGCAGGGCACTGGAAGACAGCTGAGAAGTGGCGTGATTAGACTGGTATCCCCATTCGTCGTCATCCGACGGAACTCGGAGTGACAACGAAAGGGAACGTCTCGGTTACGGATGTAACCCTCGTTCCCTGAGTAGGGAACGGAGACGTTCCGTCTTCCTGCCACTTCCGCTGTACCGCGGGGATCGCCTGAGCTCAGTCTTGGCTCCTCAGCGAAGAAAACATGCCGGTTTGCTGCCAGCGAGCTCCTTAAATACCCACGAGGTGGGGCGGTGCTACGCTATGCAAATTCCGCAGACCCATGGCATTTCTTTGCCATTGGCTCGTTTTGTAGTACTCGAAGTCGATTGGCTTTCTAAGCGAAACCCCATTCGTCGTCATCCGACGGAACGTCTCCGTTCCCTACTCAGGGAACGAGGGTTACATCCGTAACCGAGACGATATTTTTTATGGAAAAAAGTTTTTGCTCTGTTTTTCTGAATTAACGAGTTAATTATCTCAGAATTACGAGATATTTTTTTATGGAAAAAAGTTTTTGCTCTGTTTTTCTGAATTAACGAGTTAATTATCTCAGAATTACGAGATATTTTTTTATGGAAAAAAGTTTTTGCTCTGTTTTTCTGAATTAACGAGTTAATTATCTCAGAATTACGAGATAATTTTTCATGGAAAAAAAGTTTTTGCTCTGTTTTTCTGAATTAACGAGTTAATCATCTCAGAATTACGAGATATTTTTTTATGGAAAAAAGTTTTTGCTCTGTTTTTCTGAATTAACGAGTTAATTATCTCAGAATTACGAGATATTTTTTTATGGAAAAAAGTTTTTGCTCTGTTTTTCTGAATTAACGAGTTAATTATCTCAGAATTACGAGATAATTTTTCATGGAAAAAAAGTTTTTGCTCTGTTTTTCTGAATTAACGAGTTAATTATCTCAGAATTACGAGATATTTTTTTATGGAAAAAAGTTTTTGCTCTGTTTTTCTGAATTAACGAGTTAATAATCTCAGAATTACGAGATAATTTTTCATGGAAAAAAAGTTTTTGCTCTGTTTTTCTGAATTAACGAGTTAATTATCTCAGAATTACGAGATAATTTTTCATGGAAAAAAAGTTGTTGCTCTGTTTTTCTGAATTAATGACTTAATTATCTCAAAATTATGAGTAACTCATTAATTCATAAAAACAGAGTGAAAAAAATTTTTCACGAAAAATTTCTCTCATAATTCTGAGATATTAACTCGTTAATAGATTTTTTTTCCTCAAGTGAATGCAATACACTTCCGTACTTTAGTATGTTAGTCAACACATAACAATAAGTATAGGTCTGTATAGCATGACAAAAGATTATTAAAACAATGATTTAAAATGTAAAAAGTTTGGCATTATTAGAAAGTGCACTTGTCTTAATCGTGTTAAAAAAAACTCATGAAAGTGTACTCTCTTTAAGTACACTTAAATGGCCTTTTATTTCATTAATATTATATTATCTTCAAGTACAGTTTTTGAAGTATACACTACAAGTGTATATTCAAGATTTAAGCACACTTCTTTTTAAGCCATGTAATCCTTTTGAAATATAGAATTTTTGGTGAAAAAAAACAACAACAAACAAGCTTACTGTGTTTTCGTCCTCCTGGCTGTTGCTGGCATCTTCGCTTTTGTGGTACTTGTCTGATGAACGCGAGTCTCTCTTACGGCTGGTATCAGTTCCCTCCATTGGCCTTTCACCATCTGTAAATGAGACAACGACCACACACATTCAGTTAATATTTCATCAGCAGTATTATTGGTTCTATATCATTACCATTTATATTGCATACAGCACACTGAAACTAGCTGTCATTATAGAGACTCTTCTGAGCAGATTTAGATCATTCTCAGAGAGAACACATGAAAATGGCTACAGCTGGGGTGCAAAATTAACACTTGCCAAGTGCCAAATGCAAATAAAATTGCCTTTGGCAGGAAAATGAATAAATAAACACCTCTCATCCACCTGGATGCCAGCAGCTGTGTAGGCAAGTATTATGAAAAATGCCTGAAGAAGGTGTTTGACCAAAATTTTGTTTATCGAAAAAATATTTGCAAGCTACAACACTATGATTGCTTGTTGCATTATTTTCACTATTTTGGAGAGGAACGCTACTGATCAGTTAGCCAATAGTCTCGCAGAGGTCAAATTTTGTTATTGACTATAAGCACAAGATCTGATCCACATAACAGCTTTTTCAGAAAGGAAGTTCCCTCATTGTTTTGACATCCTAAGACCAGTTAGCCATTAACTTTTATAGGAATACCAGCATGATGCACTTGGGTGAAAGTGAAAATGATAATAGTACTCCGCTTACAAAAGGTCCAGCAACTTACATCTTGGAAAATGTGTTTTTCAGTGTTTTAACAAGAAGTGGCCTTGTGTCACTGACGACAGGCCAAATAACTAGCAAGTAAATGATGCAGCGAGCGACACCATTTCTGTGTGATCTTTCTGTGATATTGAGTAATTTACATTTCAAAGTAAATTAAGAAAATTTTGTTTTTATATTGTGTAATGCATAACTTGCATTCCAACCTTCCAGTTCTCGCTCCCGGCATGTGGGCGCATTTCAACGAAATTATATTATGTTGCTTCTTGCATGTTTTGCAGCACATTCAAATTGAAATGTCCAGTGAGTGGGACTAAAAACGTTTTCAGTTTATCCGAAACAGATAAGTGTGAATCTAGCCACATTTTATTACATGGGTCGTCGTATGTATCACGGCAGAAGCAAACTTGAGATTAAAAACGCTTTTGTTGAAGCATCCATGCCGTTTTAGCTCGCTTCCACAAGTTTTGGAATCTTTTTGTTGTGATGCAAATGTACTTATACAAGAGCAAATCTGCCCCAGGTAAGCTACTGAAAGTATACTACATCAGAACAGCCATACACAAGGAGCTGGTTACATGATACAAATGTCAAAATGTATTATTTTACAAACAATGAACTATGGTAAAAGTGTTTTGAGGTCATAATATAGTACTATGCACTGAACAGTGTAAAAATAAGTCGGTCCCACTTTATTTAAGTGGCTTTATGTACTTATTGTATTCATGTTGTATTGTAAAACACATTGGGTCTCATTCATGAAACACGAGCAGAACGAATTTTTGTGTAAATCGTGTGTAAAGTGGTTCTGGTGTAAATTTTTGGATTCATTAAAATGTTCGTATTTTCCAAATGTTAGTTGGTACACAAGAGATCTACACCTGCTCCCAGCCACGCGTAAATAGTGCGCTTAACACCCGAACGTTTTGCTCATTAATAAGGCTGCATTTTAATTCACCTTAATCGGGTACATATTTGCACAGCATTTTGAAAAAATATTATATATAGTAATTACATACGGTTTTTCTTATTATGAGAGCCAGTAATAGCATCTGCGATGGTGGTCCTTCTCCAGTTTTAATACTATTTTTCCAAAGTGAACTAATTTGTTTTTTGCTCTCAAGCTTAAAGTCGAACCATTTTCTTCTCACTTCTGGGAATGTTCGATTAACAGATGAAACTCCATTAACTGCATCTGTAATACGCTGCCGAGCTTCCTTTTTTTTAGGACCTGATACGCCACTATGTACGCTTGAAAAAAAAAGTGGCGTTTTGAATGAACTTCTGATAATAAAACTTTAATTTCTGCATCTGAGAATTTTTTTTTTCATTCGCATTCATGTCATAATATGATGCCCATATATAGTTGTCAGTCGGATATAATGGGCGGGATTTATGGTAATTGAGAATGAACGTGCACGCGCATCCCATTTACGACTGATTGGAATTCATTAACACACACACATTTCACTATCACATCTGACGTTTACGAAGTATTTGTGAATCAGGAGAAGAGTTTTCGGGAAGGTCTCTTTACGTGCAAATCACTCGCATATTTACTCGTATATTTACGAATGTTTCATGAATGAGACCCATTGCTGCTATTGAGGTGTGATACAGGTAAGGTTAGGGTCAGGGGTATGAATAGGTTTAAGGGTGGGTTAAGGTGTAAAGGAGGGGTCAACAGTGTAATTACGAATGTAATCACAGAAATGAATTACAGCTGTAATTACATGCAGGTATTTTTAAAATCCATTGTATCAAATGATTAATTTCAATGTTAGTACATAGTAGTTAAAGCCACTTAATATAAAGTGGGACCCAATTATCTGCCCTTGTTATCATAATTTGTATGAAAATAAATAAAAGTGATTTTTTTTTTTTTTTTTTTTTTTTTTACTGCCTCTAGTGTTCACTTCAGCTGAAAACTGCATTGAATTCTTAACATTCTTTATTTTGTCTCAATGAGCCTAGGATGTAAACACCAGCATTCTTGGAAAGATGTTCGGCCAATCAAACTGCCTTTAAGAAATATTTACACTATGTCTACTAGTTATTTTCACCAGCATCTGTCAGATGTGGCAGTAAGTTACTTTTACACTGGCTACAACCCAGAAACCAGTGCCACTGGGTCAGTGACACACTCCAGATGGATGGATTATGAGATTGTCCTCCATCGACTGCTATTAGGAAATGAGGATCACTCAGGTGGCATGGAAAATAGCTAGAAGGATATACTTGGAGGTGTGCTAACATCGACAGATGGATAAAATATATTTTCAGCAGTCCGCCTTGACAGAAGCTCCTTATAAAAGGAAACTGTGTGTCAAGAGAATAACATATTATTGCATGAGTGTTATTGCCTGTGGGGTGATCACGACTTCTTTACAAACACAGTCACACATACTATGAGCTAAACAGCTTAACACATGAAGTTGTACTGTAACCAGAGGGAATACAGCTATAAAATATAATGAATGCTTCTCCTATAATAAAAGATTCTCTTGATAACTACTGATTATAGAGGAAGGGTTGTTTGTGGTCACCGCCTGGAGGTCTAGGAGACATTATGTTTACACTTGCATGTGCAGATGTCTGTGTGAGTGTGTGCGTTTGGGACTGGCACTGCAAAAAATGTAAGATTGGGCCAAATGCACAAATTGTAAGAGTGGGCCTCAAAAACTCAGGCAGAGTTTAAATTCACCCACTGGATGCCTGGAAGTATTTGGCATCATTGATATTCATTTGTTATCTTGTATAGTATCGTGTAAATATGACAGTGTTCTTCGACTTTATACTAACACCTACTGGTACGCATGCAATATTATGCAAACATGGAGGTTTTTTTTGTTACAGTACAAGTATAAATGTATTTGGTAATCCATGCTTTATTGATTCTGCAAAATGATCTGATAATAGGAGTTTACAAAGATAAAGAGTTGAAGGTATCACATTTAATGTGAGTTATGCAAGTAGTATTTGTCTGATCATGATTTCAACATTAAAGGCGATGCCCATTTGGTAGAATAAAACAACTTGAGTTTACTTGTTTTAAACATGTCTGTCAAAAGGACAATTCATTCCTTTAGATGCAAAGTTTCAGGACGATGAGTATAAGTGTACTACACTCGTCCTTTGACATTTATTCTACTCAGAATGAGGTTTCAAATGTCAAAAAGATAACATAACAAAGGCAAACTCTATCACAGGTATACAATTTCTGTGTCAGATAAGCGTTTGGAAAACGAAAGCCTGAGTTGCCGGGAAACTGTCAGGGCGACCCCAGAAATTCACTCAGTGGATTAAAAACACGAGGATGAGCTTCAGTCACAGTGTGAGTCTCCGTATCCCACAAGGACTTTGTTGTTGCAGTAGCAAAATAAGAGAAAATTGTGTTTTGTTGTGGCTGTATCACTTCATTTATCACTTCACATTCTTGAATCTGTGAATTTCACAGTGAAAAAATACATATCGACTTAAGTTTTTATGGTATTAATTCCAAATGGAAAGTGTCATACTCTCAATTAAGGGATATTAGCCTCAGAGAAACCAGCAGAATTGTAAAAAAAAAAAAAAAAAAAAAAAAAAAAATTTGTCCATGCTTCAAATAATCAGGAGTTGCAAAACTAAAATGAATGGAATTTCCAGCTGCTGTATGTGATTGGTTTTCGAGCTCTTTTACGTTTTACCCACTCGAGTCCCTCAGCATGTGCCTGAAAAAGGTGTGGATATTGTGGATAAGATCCGTTTGCAAAATCATAGAGAGACAGAACAAACACAGAAGCAAAACTTCAGAAAAACCTACATAGACACATGAGTCCAAATGTTGTTGTAGTGACACCAAAAAAAGAACCTATGAAATCAAATTCAAAATATTCTTCATGTTTATTATTTATAATCTGTGTATATATTTCAATAGAGAGTACTTTGAATCAAGTTAATTTGTCTCCATCTCATCTGTGATCATTCCATTTGGACACTTCAGTTATTTAAAAGATTCAATCCATCACAATTGTGCCTTTGTGAAACACACAAGTCCAGTTTGTTTAAGGTGAACTACCTCTATAATAAGCAAGTAAGTTGCTCTGGATAAAAGCGTCTGCTAAATGACTATACTTACAGCACTGAAAATTGAATGCTCTCAGGACATTGTTATTTGTGCAAAGACACGGTAGCAAAAAGCGCTGGCATGTATTTTCAGTGCCAGTGGTCTTCACATTATCAAATGCATGAACTGAGCCAAGAAAACTAGCGATCTAAAATGATCTAAAAACTTCAGTAGTGGTCAGTTTTTTAACACAGTTCTAAAAGCCTATAAGTGGAATTTCCCCATGACTTCCTTCTCTAAGGTTTCTGTAGCTCGAGTGG